CGGGGTAGCTGTGACTGCGACTGGACAGGCGGAGGACACTGTAAGGAGGGAGCAGGACAAGGAGGAGGCGGCTGACCAAGAACCTGCTGGAGGAGTGGCACGAAGTACGGTCGCGGCCGTGTAGTGCCCCCAAAACCAGTAGAGACAGCACCAGAACCTCCAGCAGCAGCTCCAACTCCTGTAGCACCATCGGTAGCTCCAATACCTCCAGTAGCACCAGCAACTCCAGTACCCCCAGCAATACCAGCAGCACCTCCAGGACCACTGGCTCCAGCACCTCCAGTGCCGACCCCAGGGTCAGCAGCAACACCACCTCCAGTAGGCACAACGCCCTCAGCTCCAGCTCCAGTAGCACCACAGAGGCGGCGATAGTACCGAGAGTACCACTCACTCAGCTGCTGGGAAGAGAGAGCGCCCTCAGGCGCAGTGCCCCCAGGCTCAGGACCTCCACACTCAGCACTCCCAGGGACAGCACCCCCAGGCTCAGCACCCGCAGTCTCTGCACCCCCAGGCTCAGCACCCGCAGTCTCTGCACCCCCAGGCTCAGCACTCGCAGTCTCAGTACCCCCAGACCCAGCACCACCAGGCTCAGCACGCTCAGGCTCAGCACGCTCAATACCTTGCGGAGGACCAGAGTCGACAGCTACCTCGACAGGCTCGACCGGGTCTACCTGGGAAACACCTTAGGGAGCAGGACTCTGGGGAGGCAGGGGGTCTTCCAAAGTAGCACTTGGCGTGAGGAAGAGCGGCGGGGGGGGGGGGGGGGAGCGGGGCAGTGCGGTAAGGGAAGAGACGGTAGTAGGGGACCGACTCGTCAAAAGTGACGTCCTGAGAGGCGAAGACCCGGCGCGAGGTGGGGTGGTAAAACTGCCAGCCAGGCGCGTCAAGGACAAAGCCAAGGAAGACACAGGGAGCAGCGTGGGCGGAGAGCTTGTCCGCGGACGTATTGCGGACAAAGGCACGAGATCCCCCGACCCGGAACACAGACGCATCGCCAACCTCTCCCGTCCAACGCAGCATCGGCGAGGTCTCCGGAACGGGGACATGGGGCCAGAGGTTGAGCTGATGCGCGGCGTAGTGGATCGCAAACGGCCACAAAAAATGGGGGGGCAGCCGCATGGACCAAGGAGGTACGAGCGACTTCCATGACCAAGCCAATGCGGCGCTCAGCAACCCCATTCTGCTGAGGAGAGTTCGGAAGCGTGAACGTCTGGCGAATGCCCTTCCCCTGACAGAAGGTCTCCAAGAGACCGGAGGAAAACTCACCACCTCTGTCAGAGTGGAGTCGCAGGACGGGAAGGTCCGTGCGAAAGCGCCTCTCCAGCTGGAGACGGGTAGCGCGGATCCAAGGGATCAAAACAGCAGGGACCTCTCCCTTGGTGCGCAAGGGGAAGACCATGGTGTAACGCGTGTAGTCGTCAACAACCAGCAGGAAGTAGAGCTCTCCTCCCTGTCCACAGACTCGGGCTGGGCTCCATACATCCATGTGCAGGGTCTGAAGAGGGGCCTCCGTCGGGGGAAACTCAGAGGAGTGAGGGGTGGCACGCTGCCGCCCCTCGACAGAGTGAAGGCAGGGAGGGGCAGGGGACAGTGGCAGGGGAGGCAGTGACCTGGGAAGACCAGAGACAAGGTAACGGGAGCGCATGCCACGAAGGCGCTGCATCAAAGGGTGCCCAAGGCGGTGGTGCCAGAGGACCGTTCGGTGCAACAGGGTGCGACACAAGCAGGGGGCGGACAACTGACCTGACGCAGCTACTTGAGGGGACTCAGTGGCCAGGGTGTACAAGTCTGACCCCGGCTACCGAGTGAAGGTAGCCAGGTGTCGACCCGTGTGGGCACTCGTGTAGTGTGTCACACCCTCGTAGGCAGGGGTGAACTGGTGAACACCCGCATCCTGGAGCGCGGAACCCTTCACCTGGTTTGTAGAGAACGAGGGGAGGTAAAGGCCCGCCAGGGTGCCGGACGGGACAAAAGGACAAGGGAGGGCAGTGGTGGAGGTAGCAAGGACCGGACCCCCGGAGGGGTCAGCCAGGGAGACAGCAACCGGCCTAGGGAGCTGCTCTAGGGCAGTGCGGTCGCGAAAGAAACAGCGAGAAGCACCAGAGTCCAGTGTGAAGGTGTGTACTACCTCAGTAGACGCAGTACCTGAAAGCGCAGACTCACAAGTACCTGACACAGCAGACACACGTGCACCTAGAGCAACAGCCTCACTAGGACCTGGGGCAGCAGAGACACTGGCACCTAGAGCGGCAGCCTCACTGGTTGCAATGCCTGGGTCTGGTGGCACACACAAGTAACAGTCACCCTCAACACTTGGCTCCAAGGATGATATCAAAGTCAAGTGCAAAGACATCAATGTTCTTTTTAAGCCAGATCAGCCCAGCGGGGCAGCTCAGAGGCCTCAGGGAACTGTGCACGCCAGGCGTCGTCGAGACAGAAGAAGCAGCGCTGTGGCGTGTGGAACCTCCCACACGTCTGAACAGCGCGGTCACCTGTGCGGATGACATACGTGCAGGTACCCCCGCCCCCAGACCCGCCATGCTGAGAGTACCACTCACGAAGCTGGTGGGACAACGGGGTCTCTCCAAGACGCTGCTACTGGCACTGGACACCACCCGAGCCTCCACGCTACGCCAGTCCACCCCGACCACCACCCGAGCCGCCACCCCCACGCCTACTGCCTCCACCACCACCACCTCCACCCTGGCCTCCTCCACCACCTTTGCCGCCACCACCCCCGCCGCTGCCACCCACCCCCCCAGCCCCGCTACTACCCCCACCACCGCCACCATTCCCACCGCCCCCACCGCCGCCACCTCCACCTCCACCTCCACCCCCCCCGCTAGCACCACCACCACCCTTGCCCCCCTTGCCCTTGCCGCCCTTGCGCCTCGAGCTAGGAGCAGACGCAGCCCCGACTTCCTCAGCACCAAGGAAGTCGACAGCGGCAGCAAAGGCAACCGAGGGGAGAAGGGGGGGAGGGGAACATCCGTCAAAGAAGGGCGTACGGGGGTCGCCACGAGAGGCACCTACATCAACTATGCTTGACTCAGCTGCAAGCAGATGCTTCTCGAGGAGGTCAATGGTGAGCTCGGTGGGGCAGAGGGCGAGAAAGTGGTCCCTGACTGCGCGAAGAGAGTCAGGGAGACGAGTGACTAGGCGGTAGAGAACGAGGTACATCGGGGGGTGGGGGGGGGGGGGGGGGGGGTTCTTGGCGAGGAACTCAGCAAGAAGGGCGGCTCGGTAGCGAGTGTCACTAGTGCGGAGGTGGGTAATGAGGTCAGCGACAGTGGGAAAGGCGGCGAGGTCGGGGAAAAGATAGGGCAGCGAGAGACGGCCTATCGTAGCAAAGGCAGGCGAGGAGTAGCGAGCGACGATTGCATTGTACAGTGCCTTAGCAGTCTTATGCTGGCCGAAGTGTGCGCGCTCATCTTACGGCAGGTGGCTGCGAATGGCTAGGCGAGCGTGGGCGTCACGAGTCTGCCACTAGGAGCGAGCTGTACTGTCAGCACTGTCAGGAGGTGCTAGAGCGGTTCTAGACGCATGGTTATACAGCGAGACATCATCCTTAGCAGTGATCTGGAGGAAGAGGTGGAGATCGTCGAGCCAGGCATCAAACTGGAGCGGACGGCCCTCAGCATCGAAAGAGAGAACTATGGGTGTAGCTATAGTGGCAGCAGTAGCAGTAGCAGTAAGAGCAGTAGTAGGAGCAGGTGTAGTAGTAAGGACAGTTGTAACAGCAGGAACAGGAACAGCAGTTGCTGCAGGTGGGGCGGCGCGGCTCGGTCAGGGCGGCGCGACTCGGGCGGCGCGGTTCGGGCAGGATTGCGCGGCGCGGCTTGGCAGAGAGGGTGGGCCGGCGCACGGGTCGAGGTGGCGGCCTACGGGCTGGCTGTGGCCTACGCGTAGGCAATGACCTACGCACGGGCGGCGGCCTGCAAGGGCGAGGTGGCGGCGCGCGCATGTTGACGGGCAGCTGGCGAGCTGCTCTAGAGGCCCCGCGAGGCCAGGGCAGGCTATGTCGACGGCGTGGGCGGCTAGGGGGGGGGGGGGGGGTTGTCAAACATTATAAATGTTGTTGTGTTTGTTTAGGCTACAGTGGGTTAGCCTATAGGGGGTACACAATTCTAGGGTTAGGTACTTGTACTGTTTTCACTGCTAGTTCATCCATTCTTGTTCTGTTATTTCAACATGGTATAGAGCAGGTCCTTCCTAGGACCGAATTTTTTAAGGGCCCACCATTACCTACCTAACTACCTACCTACCTACCTGCGCCCTAGGGCGCCTCGGTTTTTTTCACGGCCACCTAAGGCCCCGACGGCCCGCCCCTAGAGGCCCCGAACGGCCCACGCGCTCGCCCCTAGCGCCCCCCTTTCGGCCCCGCGATCTCCCCTAGAGGCCCCGTCGGCCCCGCGCTTACCTCCCTAGAGGCCCAGAACGGCCCCGTCGGCCCCGCGCTCACCTCCCTAGAGGCCCCGAACGGCCCCGTCGGCCCCTAGAGGCCCCCTTGACGGCCCCGCATTGACCTCCCTAGCGGCCCTGAACGGCCCCGTCGGCCCCTAAGAGGCCCCGATAAGGCCCCGCGCTCACCTCCCTAGCGGCCCCGAACGGCCCCGTCGGTCCCTAGAGGCCCCGTTAAGGCCCCGAACGGCCCCGCACTCTCCTCCCTAAGGCCCCGAACGGCCCCGTCGGCCCCACGCCCACCGTCCCTAGAGGTCCCAAACGGCCCCGCGCCCACCGCCCCTAGAGACCCCGAGCGGCCCGTTACCGCCACAGCCCGGGACCGAACCGAGCCGCGCGGGACCGAACTGAGCCGCGCGACCGAACCGAGCCGCGCAACCCAAGCCGAGCCGCGCGACCCGAGCCGAGCCGCGCCAACCTAGCCGAGCCGCGCGACCCGACCTGAACCGAGCCGCCCCACCCGAGCCGCGCCGCCCTGCCCGAACCGAGCCGCCCTAACTGCTTCTACTACTGCTACTGCTGCTACTTCTACTGCTCCTATGGCTAGCCCACAGGTTCTAGTTTTCGATGCTGAGGGCCGCCCAGTGAAATTTGACACCTGGCTCGATGACCTGCACCTCTACCTACAGCTCACAGCCAAGGACGACATCTCACTGTACGACCACGCCCTAGGCCATATCACTGCCCCTGCTGCTACTGCTGACAGCACTGCTCGCTCACAGTGGCAGACTCGTGATGCCCACGCTCGCTTTGCTATTCGCAACTCCCTGCCGATAGACGAACGCGAGCACTTTGGCCAGCACAAGACTGCACAGGCACTGTACACAGCTGTCGTTGCTCGCTACTCCTCACCTGCCTCTGCCGCGCTAGGCCGTCTCTCCCTCCCCTACCTGTTTCCCGACCTGGCCTCGTTCCACACAGTCGCTGACCTCATCACGCACCTCCGTACTAGTGAGGCCCGCTTCCGTGCCGCCATGCCTGTTGAGTTCCTTGCCACGCACCCCCCCCCCCCCCCCACTCTGGCTCACTCTCTACCACCTGGTCACCCGCCTCCCTGACACTCTGCGTGCTGTCAGGGACCACTTGCTCGCTCGCTGCCCCACTGAGCTCACCATTGCCCTCCTCGAGAAGGAACTACTTGCAGCTGAGACTAGCATAGTCGCTGTAGGTGCCTCTCGTGGCGACCCCCGTACCCCGTTCTTTCAGGGGTGTTCTCCTTCCCCCATTCTTCCCTCTGTCGCCTCTGCTGCTGTTGTCGACCTCCTTGGTGCTGAGAAGGTCGGTACTGCATCTGCTTTGAGCGAGCGCCGCGGCGGCAAGGGCAAAGGGGGCAAGGGTGGTGGCGGTGACGGCGGGGGAGGCGGTAGTGGAGGCGGTGGAGGCGGTGGGGGTGGTGGCGCGACTCGAGAGGCTAGTGGCAGCGGTGGGGGTGGTGGCGGCAGCGGCGGGGGAGGTGGCAGGGGCGGAGGCGGTGGTTGGGGTGGCGGTGGACGAGGCGGCGGCCGGGGTTGGGGTGGTCGAGGAGGTGGTGGCGGCGGTGGTGGTCATGGAGGCGCTGGCGTTGGCCAAGGCCAGCAGCACACTCCGTCATCCCAGGAGGTCCGTGAGTGGTACTCTCTGCACGGGGGGGGGGGGAAGGGGGGGGGGGGGGGGGGTGTCCTTAGCTGCACGTACGTTATTCGCACTGGTGACCGCATTGGTCAGCAGTGTGGACGACCGCACTCCACACAGCGCTGCTTTGCTCGTCTTGACGACGCGTGACGTGTTCAGTTCCCTCAGGCCACTGAGCTGCCCCGCTGGATTGATCTCCTGAAGAAGGGGATTGATATCTATGCTCTAGACTTTGATGCTATTCTATCTGCTATGTATGTGATGTCTACTAGTGGAGAGGGTGCTGAGTACCTGTGTGTGCCGCCCGACTCGGGCATTAGGACTAGTGCGTCTGCCGCTCCAGGTACTTGCGTGCCGGCTACCCCAGGTGCTGGTGAGGCAGCTGCTCTAGGTGCTTGTGCGTCTGCCCCCCTTGGTACTGAGTCGACTGCAGCACTGCACACCTTCACACTGGAATCAGGTGCTTCTCGCTGTTTCTTTTGTGACCGCACTGCCCTTGAGCCGCTCGCTCGGCCAGTTGCTGTCTCCCTTGCTGACCCCTCTGGGGGTCCGGTCATTGCGACCTCTTCCACTGTCCTTCCCTGTCCTGCGGTCCCGTCGGGCACACTGTCAGGTCTCCACCTCCCCTCGTTCTCTACGAACTTGGTGGCAGGATGTGCGCTCCAGGACGGGGGTGTTCACGAGTTCATCCCTGCCTACGAGCGCGTGACACACTGTACGTGTGCTCGTACGGGCCGTCACTTGGCTACCTTCACTCGGCAGCCGGGGTTGGACCTGTACACACTGACTACTGAGTCCCCTCAGGTTGCTGCGTCTGCGTCTGCGTCCGCGTCAGGTCAGCTGTTGGCCCCCTGCTCGTGTCGCGCTCTGGCGCACGAGACTGTCCTCTGGCACCACCGCCTTGGCCACCCGTCTGTGCAGCGGCTTCGTGCCATGCACTCCCGGTACCTTGTCTCTTGCCTGCCCAGGGTCCTTCCTCCCCTCCCACCCTCACCTGCTCCTACCTGTCTCCCCTGTGTCGAGGGACGGCAGCGCGCTGCTCCTCACTCCTCCTCGTTTCCCCCGACGACTGCTCCCTTGCAGACGCTCCACATGGACGTGTGGGGCCCAGCCCACGTGCGTGGTCAGGGTCAAGAGAGGTACTTCCTGATAGTTGTTGACGACTACTCGCGCTACACCTCGGTCTTCCCCTTGCGCACCAAGGGTGAGGTCCCTGATGTCTTGATCCCTTGGATCCGCAGAGCCCGTCTCCAGCTCAGCGAGCGTTATCACTCAGACTTTCGTGTCCTGCGCTTGCACTCTGACAGAGGTGGTGAGTTCTCCTCCGACCTCTAGGCAGCCTACTGTGCTAAGCACGGCATTGAGCAGTCGTTCACGCTTCCGGCCTCTCCACAGCAGAATGGGGTTGCGGAGCGCCGCATTGGCCTGGTCATGGAGGTCGCCCGTACCTCCTTGATCCATGCGGCTGCCCCCCACTTTCTGTGGCCGTTTGCGGTCCGGTACGCTGCGCATCAGCTCAACCTCTGGCCCCGTGTCTCCTTGCTGGAGACCTCGCCCACACTTCTGTGGACGGGGGAGGTTGGCGATGCGTCACGTTTCCGGGTCTGGGGATCTCGAGCTTTTGTCCGCGATACGTCTGCGGACAAGTTCTCCTCCCGTGCTGTTCCCAGCGTCGTCCTTGGCTTTGTCCCAGACGCGTCTGGATGGCAGTTTTACCACGCCACCTTGCGCCGAGTCTTGCCCTCTCAGGACGTCACTTTTGACAAGTCCGTCCCCTACTACCACCTCTTCCCCTACCGCACTGCCCCGCTCCCCCCCCCCCCCCCCCCCCGCCTTTCTTTCTCGCGCCAGGTGCTATTGTTGTAGACCCCCTCCCCCCTCAGGGTGCCGCTCCCTCAGCTGTGTCTCAGGAAGACCCGGTTGAGCCTGCTGAGGTAGCTGTCGACTCTCGTCCTGCTGGGGGTGCTAAGTCTGGGGGTGCCGGGACTGGGGGTGCTGAGCCTGGGGGTGCGGAGCCTGTGGGTGCGGAGCCTGGGGGTACTGAGCTTGGGGGTGCTGAGCTTCTGGGTGCTGAGCAGCAGAGTCCGGAGTCTGGGGGTTCTGAGTCTGGAGGTACTGAGCTTGGGAGTCCTACTCCTTGAAGCAGCTGCGTGAGTGGTACTTACAGTACTGCAAGGCACCTCTGGAGCCGAGCGTGCTACTGGGATTGGTGCTGGTACTTCTCCTCCTAGTCGGGAGCTCCCCTCCCGTGAGCGGATCCGTGAGTGGTACGAGTGGCGCTGCACTCTTCGGAGTGGCGGGCCTCGTGTCGCGGACCCGGCTGCTGTTGGAGCTGCTGCTGGTGCTGAGGACCCGGGTGTTGGAGCTGCTGCTGGTGCAACGGACCCAGGTGTTGGAGCTGCTGCTGGTGTTGCGGACCTGGGCGTTAGAGTTGCTGCTGGTGCTACGGATTCAGGTGTTGGAGCTGCTGCTGGGGCTGCGGACCCAGGCGTTGGAGCTACTGCTGGTGCTGAGGACCTGGGTGTTGGAGCTGCTGCTGGTGCTGCGGACCCGGGCATTGGAGCTACTGCAAGTGCTGGGGACCCGGACGTTGGAGCTGCTGCTGGTGCTGAGGACCCTGGTGCGGGTGTCTCTACTGTTTCTGGTGTCGCTGCACAGCCGCGGCCGTACTTCGTTCCGCTACTTCACCAGGTTCTAGGTTCGCTCCCTCCTCTGTGTCCTCCTCCCTCCTTAGGGTGTCCTCCGTCTGCACAGCTGCCGTCACGGCTACCGTCTGCCTCCTCTCTCCTTGGTACTGCTCCTTACACTGGTCCGACTGGAGGTCTTACTGAGCGTCGTGAGCCTGAGTCTCGTCCTGCGTCGCCTCTCCGTGCAACTCTCACTGGTAGTCATGTCCAGCGTGAGCGTCTTCCTGCTGTCCCAGGCACTCACCGGATGGCGCTTCGTCCGTCCACTGCTCCACAGCGTGTCCCACGGCCGTCTCCTCCTGCTTCCTCTCTTCCTGCTCTTGCTGACCCTGGGTCAGACTCCCTTCGTGCTCCCAGTCCTACTGTCACGCGTCTCCTGGCTAATGCTGTCACTGACCCTTCCTTTGAGTCCGCTGCTGCGTCTGCCTTAGTTTCTGAGCTTGTTGACTTTGCTGCCACCTGTCGTCTAGACTACGCTGCTAGCTTGGTTGCTGAGTCTGAGTCTGTCTGTCCTCCGTCCGTCGGGGGTGAGTGTGCTCTTGGCACTGACGTCCTTGAGGACAGGCAGGAGGAGTTTGAGTGCTTTGCTGCCGCTTTGCCCCATCTCGTGTCCATGCTTGTTGCCCCTGAGGGAGACTCGGATGCCCCAGCACTGCTTTCCTACAGGGCAGCCTGCACGAGGAGATCTGGATGCGCCGTCCACCTGGCTTCACTGGGTCGTTCACTCCTGGTACCCAGTGGAGCCTCCAACGGCCAGTCTACGGTCTCCGCCAGGCGCCACGTGAGTGGCATGACACACTGAGGACTACACTTGCGGCTCTTGGGTTCGCGCCTTCTACTGCTGACCCGTCGCTGTTTCTACGCACCGACACCTGACTGCCGCCGTTCTACATCCTCGTGTACGTCGATGACTTGGTCTTTGCCACTGCTGATACTGCGGCACTCGCCCACGTGAAGTCAGAGCTGCAGAAGAGACACACGTGTACAGACCTGAGTGAAATGACAAGCTATCTTGGCTTGCGGATCACCCGGGACAGAGCACGCCGCACCATCACCTTGACTCAGTCACACATGGTGCAGCAGGTCCTTCAGCGCTTCTGCTTCACGTACTTCTCGCCTCAGCCCACTCCTCTGCCTACCGGTCACTCACTCTCAGCTCTGCCTTCGGATGAGTCCGTAGAGCCGAGTGGCCCGTATCTAGAGCTTGTGGGTTGCCTCATGTACCTGATGACATGCACTCGACCTGACCTTGCATACCCTCTTAGCATTCTTGCACGCTATGTCGCTCCCGGCCGTCACCGGAAGGAGCACATGGATGCAGCTAAGAGGGTGTTGCGCTACCTGTGTAGTACGTCAGGCATAGGGCTAGTGCTTGGAGGGCGAGTCCCAGTTGTTCTCACTGGGCACTCAGACGCTTCTTGGGCAGATGACCAGGCTACTCAGCGGTCGTCTCAGGGTTACTCCTTCAGTCTTGGCTCTGGTTCAGTTTTTTGGCGTTCTACTCGCTCTTCTTCTGTTCTCAGCTCGAGTTGTGAGGCTGAGATCTACGCCACAGCCATGGCGGCTCAGGAGCTACGCTGGCTCACCTACTTGCTGACCGACCTTGGAGAGCAGCCTCGTTCTCCTCCAGTGCTGTACGTAGACAACAAGGCAGCCATTGCCTTGTGTCAGGAGCACAGACTGTAGCACAGAACGAAGCACATTGTTCAGCGCTACTTCCTTGCTCGAGAGCTGCAGCAGCATTGTCAACTTCGCCTGCGTTACGTGGCCTCTGAGGCCAACACTGCTGATGTGTTCACCAAGGCGCTTCAGCCTTGTGACCATCAGCGCTTTTGCACTCTTCTAGGCCTTGTGCCTACTGTACCTCACTTGCTTACTTCTTGAGTATGTTTGTACTGTGATCTCTATATATGTATACCTTCATGTCTACTCTTGCTAGGTTGTGATCATTGTACCTCTTGTTCTATTATAAACCTGCATGTGAACTGGTCTTGTGACCACTTGCTTGTGCTCGGAATTTGTGTGGAGATCCACCCTGAGCTTGTTTTGCCTTGCTTTGCCTTGACTGGTCTTGTGACCCTTAGTTCTCCCCCACTTTGCCTATGGGGGTGTGTCAAACATTATATATGTTGTTGTGTTTGTTCAGGCTACAGTGGGTTAGCCTATAGGGGGTACACAATTCTAGGGTTAGGTACTTGTACTGTTTTCACTGCTAGTTCATCCATTCTTGTTCTGTTATTTCAACAGGGGTCGCGCGCACTAGAAGGAGGCCACGCGAGGGCGGCTAACAGGCTGCGTGGGGAAAAAACGAGGCCACGCGCGGGCAAAAAACGGGCCGCGCGCGGGCTTCTAGAGGGCTACGCGACGAGACAGCGAGGCGCGCGAGGGCGCACGAACAGCGAGGCGCACGAGGGCGCTAAAGTGAGAAGGCGCTCGAGGGCGCTAGCGGAAGGACGCGCCCTTAGTAACATGTGGTCCTAGGTTCCTAACCTAGACTCCCGATGCCATGTTAGAATGAGAAGGATTGATTGAACTAGGAAGATAGAGAGTACAAGTAGGAAAACCTAGAATTGTGTACCCCCTAAGGCTAAACCCACTATAACATATATAATGTTTAACAGTTAGGGTTTGATATATGTACCCCAACCCACATCAATGAACCAACACTTTCGTTCTTGACATGGTATCACCTAGGTTAGGATCCTGTGGGATCCCGTTCGTCTCGTTCACGTCCGTTGCGCCCAAGCCTGTCCCGTACCCGAGTGCCTGTTACGCTCGTACTATTCCCTAGCACCTATCGCGCCTGTCGCTCTCGTGCCCTAGCACCCGCTGCGCCTACCGTTGCGTCGCTCTTGTGCCCTAGCGCCTGCTGCGCCTGCCGTTACGTCGCTCCAACCGTCCCGCCGCGTCACGCTGTCTGTTTGTGTCGCGCCGTCCGTCCCGTCCCGTCCGTTCGTGTCACGCTGCCCGTCCGCGTTGCGCTGCCTGTCCGCGTCGCGCCGCCCGTCCCGTTCCGTCCATCCGCGTCCCACTGCCCGTCTGTCCCGTCCCATCCGTCCGCGTCGCGCTGCTTGTCCGTCCCGGCCCGTCCGTCCGCGTCGCGCTGCCCGTCCGCCCCGTCCCGTCCGTCCGCGTCGCGCTGCCTGTCCGCGTCGTGCAGTCCGTCCCGTCCCTTCGCGTCGTGTCGCGCTGCCCATCCGCCTCGCGCAGTGCATCGCGTCCCGTCGCGTTGCGTCGCGCTGCCCATCCTGTCCCGCTGCATGGCGTCGCGCTACCCCTGCCCGTGGCGCTACGCCCTCCTAGTCCAGCAATGCTGCGCCCTACTCCGTATCCCGTAGCGCCCTACCCTATGTCCACTAGCGCCCTACAGAGTCGCTCTTAGTGATAAGGGTTTCAGCAGCAGCACTTCCCACCTCTTTGCTTTTGCTATGGCGACTAATGAGAAACGAGAATGATTGAACTATGAAAGAGTTGGGTACAAGTACTAATCCTAATTGGGTTGTACCCCTTGTGGGCTACCCCACTACAGCCTACACAAATGTATAAGCTATAATGTTCTAACACACCCCCATATGCAAAGTGGGGGAGAACAAGTGGTCACAAGACCAGTCAAGCAAAGCAAAGCAAGCTCAGGGTGGATCACAAAGTCACCACAAAGTCCGAGCACAAGAGTAAGGCCACAAGGCCAGTTCACATGCAAGATGATATATATAAAGGTAAACAAGCAAGTGCAGGTTTAGAAAGAGTACAGTACAAACAAGATCAAGAAGTGAGCAAGTGAGGTCAGGTAGGCACAAGACCTAGCAAAGTACAGAAGCGCTGATGATCACAAGGCGGAAGGGCCTTGGTGAAGATATCAGTAGTGTTGGCCTCAGAGGCCACGTACGCAAGACAGAGCTGACCACGCTGCTGCAGCTCACGAGCGAGGAAGTAGCGGAGAGCAATGTGCTTCGTTCTGTGCTCCAGTCTGTGCTTGCGACACAAGGCCAGCATGGCATTGTTGTCTACGTACAGAACTGGAGGAGAACGAGGCTGCTCTCCTAGGTCAGTCAGCAGGTAGGTGAGCCAGCGTAGCTCCTGTGCAGCCATGGCCCCTGCGTAGATCTCAGCCTCACAACTGGAGCTGAGAATTGAAGACGAGCGGGTAGACCGCCACGAAACAGAGCCGGAGCCAAGGCT